CAGAGACTGTGGTCTCAAAGCTTGCAGCTTCCTTTTGACTGTGCAACACCAAATGCTGGGCAAGCTCACTCTCGTGTTTGGTGCTCCTGAGCTCCTACTGCTTGAAAACATTATCTCCAGCGTGCTGCTGCAGCTCTGTGACTGGGACATGTCTCATCCCTCCCAGTAGACAGCCTCACAGCAGTAGCTCTCTCTCTCCTGCCCAGACGACGGCAGCTTGAAGCCACTGGCCTACAGCAGGCTCCAGCCAGCACAGAATCCCACTGGAGGTTTGTACAGAAATAGAAAACACAAGCGCATCAGGCACATCCTATATTTTCTACTTCAGCTTCCCATACAACCAAGATCTTAGTCTTTATCTTTAAAGAACTCCAGTGGCTGGTTCCACATCTTAAAAATAATAAAGTCACCTGAAGTCCTTCATAACTCAGTCTTCTACACCCGCCCCTCCAAGAGCATCACTGACCTGTGCAAAGGTCAGGGTTTTCTCAGAAGCCACTCCTACAACCCAGAACAATCACCAATGAAACCGCATGCAGGTACGCTTCTGCTACACCTCTTTCTTTGTAAGAAGTCACAGCACACAACACATCTTTAAAAAAAAAAAACACATCAGCACTGGAACAGTAACACACTGCATATCATCTCTCCTTTCGCTGTTTGGGTGGTCCACCCCAGGTTGGTTACCTATATTTCTAACTGCAGTCTAAATAAACAGACTTTTGCAACAAAGAAGGCACGTCGAATATTAGCCGACTGCAACACGAAGCTAAGATGTTTGTTCTTCGCTGCTAACACAGGAAGATGTGAGGAATTAGTAGGTCAGCGAAACACACATTGTATCATGACAACCCCAGTGTTCAACATAAACAAAAAAGTCAAGGCCACAAATATAGTCATCATATACATCTAGACAAGGACAGGAAGATTAACATGCCAAATTTAATTACATCTCAGTCAAGCAGATAAGCACATAGAATATACCACACTTATAAAATAATTTTCACCTGCCCTTCTACTTCCCATTTGTACCTACAGCATCTAGTAACACTCATCAAGCCTTCTAAGGCAAAGCTCTTGACAGCCATGCACCAAAAAAAAAAAAAACACCCCACAATACCATTTCTGACAGGAGACAGAGCAAACTCCAGGTGTGTTGAAGTTGTGACTGCAAAGCTCTAAATATTGCTAAAAACACTTGTTTGGACTTTTCTCAGAGCTCAAAGTTTAAAAACATCACCAGAAACTTCAACTCAGTAATAAATAAACAAACAGTTAAATAAAACACTGTCGTGGCCACAAAGATTTATCAAAACAGACAAGCAGGAAGGAAAAAACAAAAAAGGCCATTAGCAGTGGATATATACAAGTTCTATCTTACTCAGCCACACCGGTTTCACCATTCAGAGGAGAAGACTCTGTCTTTATTCAAATATAGTCCCTTTAAAATGACCAATATCCTAAACTACTTGAGGAAAGTTACAGATAAGTGGCTATTTCACAATGCTTTCTGTCAACTGGAAGAAAATTCTTAGCATGACAGTGGCAAAAAACCAATAAAAAGGTAGTTTTCAACTTCCTGGGCTTGCCAACCTAGGCTGGCATGGTTTGCACTTAAACCCCCTTTCAAATTAGCTGCATCACATACCCATCTACAAACTGTCAAAAAACACAAATCAAAAATCTATCTAACCTCAACTCCTAAAGCACACAAACTGTTTTTCCTCCTTGCCTTATACAGACAGGTCCCCTTCCCCCAAATCTACAGCAAGCATCATCGAAGCGTGGTGGGTACTCTCCTTAAGGAGCTCCCCGAGAAAGCAATTGCTGCTTAGAATAATCAGCCTTTTCTCATTTCCTTCTTTTCCAGGAACCAGCTCTGCCCGGGGAATTCACCTAAAGCATGCAGACACACACACTGGCTCTCTCGCTGCCACAACTGATAAAACCAGAGCAGGTAACCATCTTACAGAAACCCCTTTCACTGAAAACCTAAGTTTATACAGAGAAGCCAAGGTGCATTTCCGGCCTATTACCGTGAAGATTTCCAATTTCTCATCCTACAGGATAGACTTCAGACACACAACCCAACTGAGTACCCATCACCACCAGAACTGGTCTCGGCACTGCAGGCAACGCACTTTCCAGTATCGCACACCCCAAAGATCACCCTCCTCCTGCAGGGACATCCCTCACCCCCACACACACACACATGCACATGGCCTGGACAAGCGTAGAGCTGGGAGGTCTCCATCCCCCTGCCTAGAACCGCCCTTTAGTCTTTTTTCTAAAAAAAACAAAATTAAAAAAAAATAATAACCTTGCCCAGAGGCAGGACCCTCAGACCACCCCCTGTCCTGCTCCATCCCCTCCAGCTCTGGCCCTGTCCTCTAGCAAACCCAGTAGCTTCCTTCCACCAGGCTGTTATTCCCACTGTTCCTCCCCAAAAGCTATCACCGCTATTACATGCACTCCTCTGCCCCAAAAGCTGAGCCTCCCCACGTGCCAGCTACCCGCTTTAAGATGCTGCTTCTCTCCCCTGCACATACCTCTCCCAAATTCACCCTTAACCAAACCCAACAAGTGCTTACACTGTGTGCCACGATCAGCTTGCTTAAACCCCCCCAAACACCCCTATTGCCTCCACCCAGCCCTAACACCCGCCTGCACACCCTTCCTCTCCCACTCCAACTTGCTCCCCGCCAGATCTAGTCCCCCATCTGCACGTCAGTGCTTCTCCTGTATCTGCCCCCACCCAGGAACTGGTCCCACACCCACAGTGTCCTCCAGCCATGGCACCCGCTCCTCGCTTCTCCCACCTGCTCCCAAACCAAAAGGGCCAGCTGGGAAAAGTGATGCTGATCCTCACTGCCTCCTGGAACCCCTTCAAATGAGCTATCAACTTTG